CCCCAAAACCCCAAAACCCCAAAACCCCAAAACCCCTTAAAAGTAAAAGGTAATTGGTTTCAGCTATGTATAGCAATAAAAATGAAATTTAGATTACAATCTGGTTTTCCTTATCTTCTTGTCTTGATGTCGATGAAGATGGCATTTGGTTCATTACCTGACCATTTCTCACAATATTTTTGCTCATATAAATTGAATCACCTATATCAGATGTGTGTGATATTTCTATATCTTTATTTATTACTCCCTTGAACGCTTCAACTGTACTTTCAAGCATCCTTGCCCCAGGCTGAGTTTTGGAAGATGGATACAGAATACTCATATCTTCAGGATCAGATTCTACAACAGACATTAGCTTAGGTGAAGACATATCATTGGGAAATTGCCAGCCGATAAACTCCATAGTTGGAACATCTATTCAGGTCTCGTTGTCTGTCTCTCAATCATACTCATTGGGAGGATAATTCCTTGGCTTGTAGTTAAACTCCTTCTTGTCAATAAAAGAAGGATCAAAGGTCAAGGAGTTCTCTCTCAAGCCGCTTCAAGAGTTGGTTTCTGGAATAATCTCCAAATCATTGTCCTGAGATTTTAAGGAAATAGGTGTTGCTCTAAAGCCTCTTTTGGCTCTGTAGGAATTACTTATTTCCTTAAGAACATGAGTCTCTGATTTTGCTGTTGAAGCATCAGTTTTCTATAAGATTAGAGGAAGCTAAAGTACCAAACTCCCATATTTTGAGGCGTTATTCATTGGGTTAGCTTCAAATACTGGCTTTGATTCATAATCATATATCTGAGCGAGTTTAGACATTTTATTGGTTTTATTTATCAGTTCTGGCTCGTGTTTGGTATTACTCTTCTGTGTGGTAGGCTCTAAGGTCCTTCTTTCCTTCTTCCAGATAGGCTCTATTCATGAAGGCTCCTCCTGGAGTTCATCAAGGCTAAGCTTTTCATTTCATTGAGTGTATGTTTCATAGAGTTTCTCTCTTTCAAAAGACAATGGCCACTCTTGATCATTTCTTTTAGAAGAGGGATTATCATGAGCAACTTTGGATACCCAGTCTTTTCTCGTTTGATTGAAAAACAATGTCTTTGTCCTTCTCACATATCCCTTTTGCTCTGTCTCTGTTGTCAACTTTCTAGCCGGTTTATTCGGCTTCTGTTTTACAGCTTTATACATACTGGCTGCACTATCTCTGCGTGGTGTGTAGATTTGCTCTATTTTCTTTGGAACTTTTTCCTGGCTCCTATATTTAGATAGATAATGCATCCTGGCTCTTTTTCCTCCCATACTAGAGGCCATAAGATTATGATCAATCTTTGGAATTTGTACCAAAGACATCACGTTTTGGTGCAACTTGTGTGTCTTAGTGTATGAAGAGTCGTTTTCTTTGACATTTCATACGACAGAAGAGCTACTCTTCATGGAATCAAAGCTTTCGTGAACTTTTTGCACTTCAACAGTGCTTGTATTGGTGTTAATAACCTCAAGAAAAGGATTAGAGCGGTATGAGTACTTATTTATCTATAAGTTGGCTTTCATTAGAGGTGTCCTCAGAACCAAATGTTTTAAAGTATCTTTTGTTATGCTTAGTTTCCGTAATATGTTTCAGAATCCCTTCAGGTAAAGGATGCATGTAGTTTTCCTTATCCTCATCATTTTCACTGAGTCTTAGAGTAGATTTGAGGTATTTAGAGTCCATTTTTAATTTTTAACTACCAAAATAGAACGTTATTTTTAATTTCTGTGAAAATTTATGTCCTTGGGGTTTTGGGGTTTTGGGGTTTTGGGGTTTTGGGG